CCTCGCCGAGCCCGGAGCGGGGCAGCCCCAGCCCCGCCTCAGCGCGCCCTTGCGAGGGAGAAACCGGAGCTTCGGACCAAACAGGGGGCTCTGGGGTGTTCCGGGTGCTGAGGGGGCCTGGTGGGATCCCCCGCATCGCTCGCGGAGCTGGCCGGCGGTTTCCCTCCCGCCGTAACCGCAGGCCTGCTGGGCCGCAGCCAGCCCGGCCCCGGTGCTGGGCTGCGGCTGGTGGTTCCCCCGTCCCTGCTCCCGGTGTAGGGGGTCAGCACGGCCCCGGCCCTGTCCCCAGTCCCCAGGGGTCGTGTGCTGCTGGGTGGGTACAGCCAAGGTAGCCGGGAGTAAAATGGGCAGGTTGAGGTACTGGGGCAAGGGGTAGTTTAACAATTACAACTTGAATCTGTCAGAAGGTGCCTTACGTCCTGGCGCAGAGACCTCCCTTTCCCAAAAGGATGAAATAAAGATGCACAACTGTACTTATATTTATTAAAAATACTGACCTATCAGTAGCAACTTCCAAGTAGCAGAGGTGTGCCTTCTCCGAACCCCTCTGCGGGCTTCCCGTGACACATAACGCACCCCCCGACACATGCACGCACACTCCTCTGTCCGGTATCATCCCAGTGCCTTTCACCCTTGCACTCAACTGCCCGAAGGACGGATCCTGGCACTGCCTGATGTGGTGCTGAGCACTGCAGAGCACGTCTGGGAGCGGCGGGCTGCATCTTTACGTGGGAATAAAAGCTGCGTGCGTGGGGTTTACGTTGAAAAGTGGCGTGTAGAGCAGGAGGGCTTGGCCTGCCGGCTTCCCCGCTCTCTTTACACATCTTTGCATTTCTGAAAAGCGTTTTTACAAGTTTGTTATCATTGCAGTAAATCTGCAGGTGTTTGCTTTCAGGGTGTGAGCAGGTTGGCATGGAAAGGCAAAGCTTTCTTCAGTCCTTGACCTGAGACAAATAACAAAATGGGTCACAGAGCAGTCCTTTCCCCCTGGGACGGATACCTGGCTCGCTGTCAGGCCGACCTGAGTCACTCTGCTGAACACGAAGGGTGCGAATAACACGATGCAGTGCAGTGTCTGCCTTCCCTAAAGGTCTTTGGCCTCACACGCTGACGAAGGTGATGGTGATGTGTGCGTACGTGGGTCTGGGGATCCGAGGGAGCCTTTCAAGCAGCACCGTCCGTACTCATCATCTTCATCCCAATCTCGCTGCCCTGCCATGTGCTGCTGATAACTCCTCAGGATGAAAGCTGGCTCTGTCTGCCTCTTCCATTTCACAGCACTAACGCTCCTGACATCCAGACCATCTTTGGTATGAATCTGTCTTATCACAGCCCGAGGAGATACAGCCATAGGGCTCTCCTCAGAGTGGGGGTTATTTTTACCTCTCCTCAGAGTCCCCTGGACTTCAAGTAAAGCATCTGAACTATAAAAGGACAGTGTTGACAATTGTCTTGGGACATCTCAATTTATAGAGACTCCTGCGATCCTGAAGTGCAGGTCTGTGCGTGGGGTCACTCACTGGTGTCCATAGATGCTTTTTATAAATGTTCATGGGACTAAAACTGCTTGCTCCTTGGGATCCTCAGCTTTTCCAGAGGAGGCAGGGCATGGAGGCACATATAGGAATATAGAGCTGTAGTGATGTATATACTGTGCCTGTTCAAGCGCATCATTCCAACCTTTCTACAAATCAGCTCTGCGTTATCCTAGAGACAGAACAGGTCTCCAAAGTGAAGCGTGGCTGGCTGTTACCCTGAGGGTGCTTCAAAGGCTGGATTTCACAGCCCTCACATTTTTCTCTAGTTCTCTCTGTCATTTTCCATTGCTCTCTTTCTGTCTGCCTCTTTGCAGGAGTCTCTTTGGTTTTAATTTACAGTGTCATTCCTGTCTGCACAGAAGCTGGAGGCTCAAATACAATGCTGTACCCTGCATATAGGAGTGGGAGTGCAGCCTCATGGCTTGCCAGGGCAGGAATATCACAGCTACCAGGGCCCCCAGTCTCTGCTGTGGATTTCCTCTGCAAGTTTGGGCAGGTCCTCCGCCTCTCCTCTGCTTGGTTCCTCTCTGCCACAGCACGTTCTTCTGCAGGAGCCAATGCCACGCTGGTAGCAAGGGCAAACGTGACCCTGGAGTGAGTGTGCAGCAAGCAACGTCCTTTCTCACCCTGCACCATGGTCCTTTTGCAGGTTAAAACACAAACAGTACATTAATGATGTGAGATGCCCAGATTTTCCCTAATGGAAGCTGTAGAAATACCACAGACAGAAGCTAAAATCTAATCTTGCATCTATAAACAGCTTATGCTGCTTTTTACGAGCATTTGAATCAAGCAGTGGGAATTGAAAGCAGCTGTTACTCAGTCACTGCACAGAAACGAGCAAGTGGCAGCTGAAGTCAACCACATCGGAGCAAAACGCCTTCGATTTCTAGTCAAAGTCACGGAGCAAGGACGTTGGAATAAGGAACAAATCAAAGCAAAGTGTTTTCTGCTCCCAGGTGCTCTGCTGATGGGAGGGCTGAGTTATCCGTCATGAATTATTCACCACTTCTAATGATGTTATGATGATTTTTTTGCAGGTAGGAAGAGGGAGAGAGCCACCAACTTGCATCATACAGCCTCCAGACAGCTTCTGGCTGCAAACACGCTGTCTGCCTGGAGAGGAACCACCCAGGGAGCCCTGTTCTGGCTGGGCTCCATCCCAGGCAGGACACTACCCGCACCCCAGGGACCCACCACCCTGTGCCATGAGGGTGACGGTGGAACTCGGCCCAGAAATACCCGTTGTTCCCCCATTTTCCTTCCCCCTTGCTGATTCATCAGGATTCAACTTCCTGAAATCCACCTTCAAAACTAGATTTTTGGACCTATCAATGATCTAGACAAAAAAAATGTTTTCAATGTTTTCTGTGATGTTTTTGGTTTTTTAAAGGACCTCTGGCCTTTTCCAGCTGGGACAGGCAGCGTGTTGATGAAGGGGAGGTGCCTGCTGGTCTCTCCCGTGACAGGGACGGTGGCAGGGCCAGGCAGGTCCCTCTTTGCTCCACGGTGCTGTTCAGCCTGGACCTGGAGAAAATGCTCATGGGGCAGCATGTTGTAGGATGGTTTACAGGTCTGAGAAAGGGCTGGTCTTAGGGCAGAGAGGAGGTGAAGACCCCTCCAAGAACAGGGGGTCTGACGTAACCTGTCCCTTATGCTCACTTTGCTTCAGGCCTGCCTGCCTCTGTCAGCAAGACGTGGCCCAGCTCCTGGCCCCTCACTGAGGGTGGGGTGATGAACAGAGACCCTCGCCCCCAGGTCTGAACTCCTCTCTCACATCTAGCAGTCATAAAACTTGCCTTTTTCCCCTCTCTGTGGGAACATCCCGCTATCTCTGATAGCTGGTGGAGACCGAGGGGTCTCCTCCATCTACTGCTTCAATGAATAGTCCAAAACCAAAGCAGAGATACTGTTTAAGGGAGGAAGGAATGAAATTTAATGAGCCAAAAGTCAAAACCTGAAAAGAATAACTTAAGGTTGAAAACCAAGTTGCAGATGTCTCGTTGTATACCAAGGCTTAGTCACACACACACGGGGAGGCCAACTCTTCATGGTGGTTCATGTGAAACATCTCTGTAGATGTGCAACGTCCAGGGAGGAAGGGACATGGATGGAGGCATCTCGCTCTTCGTGTGCTCAGGTGAGTTCAAACATCTCTGAGAGCCTGGGAGACAAGGGTGAGAGGGCTTAAGGCAATCAGTCTTTGAGATGAGAGTGCTCCTCAGACGAACCCAAAATATCAATAGCTGTAATTCCACACCATTACATGCAAATAGTTTTGCGTAGAATTAAATCTCCCACCTAACCACCTATATTGCTGAGCAGGAACTGGAGAGAAATGGATTAAAAACAAGATAAAAAAAAGATGCTAAACATTCAGAGTTCAGACTTCTGTCTGTATCCGTTTTAACATCCCGTTGTTTAAAAAGATTTGTAGAGGGGAAAAAAAGATATTTTAAATATTAAAGTTGTGTATTTAGAAGTATCTAAAGGTTGTGGGGTTTTCTTTTTTTTTTTTTTTTTTTTTTTCAGCTGAGGAGAGAAGAAATGTTTAAGAAAAGATAACAAAACCATAAGAAACTGACAGGGGAGACCGGGGCCAGCTCTTAGTAATTTGGATTTTCTTCTAAAGAGAATAGATTTTTGGACAGATAGTTCATCCTGGAAGAAACCTATTTCTCTGTTTTCCTCAGGCACACTTAGAGGAACACAAAAAGCTAACCAAGCTTCAGTGGTACATTTTCCACATTCTTTCTAATGTTAATGACAATGTTGATATTTCCTAGTTCAGAAATTTCCTTGCTAAGTACTCAGTATTTTCTTAGCATTAGGTCATTCACTGCTGCAGGTTTTAAAAAATTTATTTCCACCGACTGCTGTTTGATGAGCACCTGAGCTCCTGGTGTGTTAGAAAATGTATTGCCATAAACCACACCAACCTCTTCCCTTCCAAGCAGAGAATCAACACGATTCATGATCGACAGTCACAGGATTGATGCTGTCCCAGTAAATTTTAAATGGGATGAGTTACAAATGAGGTTCGTTATGGGGAACACAGCTTTTTTGGGCTTGCAGAGCTGGGATTATTCCTGGGCCACTAGTCCCCTGCAGGCTTGCTTGTGGGGTTTGGGGTTTGGGTCCTGTTCCCCTGGCTGTTATATGCAGGATTTCCCATTTTGGACTAAGCAGCAGGACACCCTGATAAACTCACCTGAAGTTTCTTCTTTCAGCCAGACATGATGTGCTTGACAAAAGCTGAGGAGAAAATGGGAAATGAGAGCGTGAGAGGTCAAACCATGCTGTGAGCTGTGGTGGGGCGGGCAGAGAGGCAGCAGGGGGTACCCCCAGCCTGGGGCACCCCAGGGACAAAGGGGACATGCTCTGCCAGGACTGAGATTTCTCCTTCTGTTCCCACCTTTCACACGCCGTCCCAAACCTGGTTAGAGTGATACCAAACCCCTCCTGGAGATGAGCCGGTACCACTATCCCCAGTTTTCTGAGGCCGAGGGAAATGGGTACCCTCTTTTCCTCAATGCTCTCCAATTTTAGGGGTTTCCAGATTTAACCACCCCCTATGCCAGATTTTCACCCTCTTGAAGCTGTGAGCGATCTGGGTCTCCAAATGTTCCCAATTAGCCTCTGCTGTGAAAGATGCTGGCTTTGTTTATTTTTAATAGCTTACAACAAAACAGTGCCAAAACTGGGGATAAAACAGTCCCGAAACCCTCGGAAACATGCTGTCTTCAGCTGCTTTTACTGGAAGTCACTGGCACAACCGCATTGTTCCCACCCCAGCTGACATGTCTCACAGCTCTCCTCAGAGAGGCTTTGGAGGGTGGTCCACACCTCCCTCTCAGCTATCACCAATGTCCTCACAGAGGACACATTTTGCACCCTAAGACAAGACAACCTTGTCTGGGATGGCCCCGATGGACATCTCTCACTCCTACCTTCATAGTTGATACAGCCGTTGGCATCTTCTTGCCCTTGCATGAGCTGCTCCACTTCACTTTCTGTCATCTTCTCACCTGGAAGAGGAGGATGGAGAGGTGAGGGGAAGGGTTCTCAGCCCACCAGGACCTTCCTGTCCTTTTTCCAGAGTGTAAAGCCACCAGAGGAAGGCAAAGGGGATTAAAAAGGAGCTGTGTGCCACTGGGGAATAATGGTGGGAGATTGTGGAGTGCGGACCAAGCCACAGTAGTTGTCTGATAATTGAGGATTTTATGAACTGTCTATCTCACCTGGATCATGCACAAAGCCTGTGGCATAAGATGGAAACAGCCACAGATCCAGGAGACATTCGCTCCTACAAAAGCCTACAAGCCACAGAATACAAAAGGTCTTTCCAATGTGTGAGATGACCTGAGCCATTTGCCCAGAAAGACCTGAGGGGTGGCCTGTGTCCTGCTTCCCGCCCCAGGGCCAGCCCGTACCCAGCGTGACCAGCACATGGCGCAGCTCAGCCCCCATCACCATGCCGTTGCCCTCCTTGTCGAAGACGCGCAGCCCTTCCACAAAGTCCTCGAAGGTGCCCTGCTCCTTGTTGCGGGTGAAGTGCTGCAGGATGGGGAGGAAGGTCTCAAAGTCCAGCATCTTTGTGTTCATTTCTGGAAAGGGGAGGAGGAGATGGAGTCAGAGATTAATTTTACTGCACTGAAGTCAACCTCTGAGGACTGACCTACTCAACCTTCCTGGTGTCATTTCCATCGGAGTACAGGGGAGAAACCCCACCAAGTGATGGGATTATTAGTATATTACACTGGAGATGGGAAGATCCATATGAGGAGTAAAGTGTTAACATCTGGGGACTGCAACAGACTGCTGATGTCAGCCAAAAATTAAAACCAGCAAGTATGTCCTCTGTCACCAGGGCAATGCGGCTGCACTGGGACTGGTCAGGTTACACCAGTCTGCACCAGCTCAGGATACGGTCTTCTAAGCTTCAGTTGTCACCATCCCCAGCTGAGGACAGCCTATCCTTTATGTCAGCTGTGGTATAGGGAGGGGGAGTGAAGGAATTTTGCAGGAATGAAGCCTCTGCATCATTTCCTTCCCAAATTCCTTCATCTTACAGGGCTGTTCCTACAGGGGACGTAATCCTTCACTTGCTGCCGGGGAGCACAGGGATTGCTTGTCCCACCCTGTCCCCGCTGCCCCAGTTTGTTGTCACCTTCTTGTTTGGGCTTGCCCAGCACCTTCAGGACCTCTGCGTTGGTGGGGTTGTGGCCGAGCGCCCGTAGGACGTCCCCACACTGCATGTAGGTGATCTGCATGGCTCCCGTGGGCGTCCGGTCAAACAGGCTGAAGGCTTCTTTGAACTCTGCAGGGAAGAAGAGCTCAGATGTCCCTTGCCGTGCCAGCCTCACTTCCCACCCCACCGAAGGAAGTCCTGCCTGGCAGGCAGGGAAGGGATGGACACATGTGTGGCGGGTACCCCCAGCACCCCTCGCTGCTGCCCAGGGCCGGCAGCCCTGTGCTAGTTTGAGCAACGAGCAGCTGAAGCTTGCCAGACTCCTTCAACGAGTCGCTCAGGTTTTTGAGCAGGTTTTGCCACCCGTGTGGAGCTGGCCGGGTGACCTGCTGGGATTCCTGCACCACCTTGTGCTGGCAGCACCAGCTGCAGGTGCAGGCTGCTGTCTCTGTGACAGAATGACCCCTTCGCTCTTCCCCTTTTCGACTCAGGATTCCTGGGGACCCCACGACCCTCCTGCTGCACCCCCATGACACCTGCAACACCCCATCTGCTCTGCTGGCATCCCCCAGCCCCAGCCCGGCAGACACAGCGCGGTGTTGCTCGTGTCTGGGGAAGGGTGACCAGGTCCACCCGAACCTTGCCGACCACATGTCATGCCAGCCCTGCATAGAAGGACACGGGAGATTCATTTCCAAGCTCATTCCCATAAATTATCATGCCACTGAGTGTTACATTTTACCTGGAGGCAGGAGGCCTAAATTAGGAACAATTAAGGATTGCTTTCCTTCTGTGTACGATGCTTTTCAGCTTCCTGACCTGCTGCTGGATTCTCTCTTTAGTCCCAGTGTTGGCTACATGGATAGCCATGCACCTGCGCTGCTGAGAGCCTGGTCTCTGCCTTTCGTTTCAACCCAGAAGATCTTTCCTACAGCAGGTTCCTCACTGGTGTTGAGGTGCAAAATGTGGGAAACCAGTCCTCCAGCAAACAGCCCCCACAAGTCTTTACCTTCCTTCTTGCAGGCAAGTCAAGGACCTCGAGGCTCTATGCCGGCAGCGAGATGGTGGTTTTCCTGCAGCAGATCCTCCACACACTTCTGGATTTCATCCTGCTGCCTCCAGGCCAGCGAGTCCACCTAAGCAAGCAAGACTGGCCCAAGTTAATCAGCCTTTCCAGCCTCCC